TCTTAAATCTAAACTTGACATGTTTGCTGTTTCATTTTAATCTTCAAGTATTTATTACATTTAAATATATTCAAATCTCACTAATCTCATTAAGTACTTTTTGCATTACTGAAAGTACATCCAAATCTCACCAATCTCATTATTAAGTACTTTTTGCGCCCTTCGTACTCTCCTCGTAGCTCATTTGTCACTATGGTGTAGGACCAAACAAGAAATCTTCTGACAAAGTATCACATGGCTTAACAAATCATTTCCACGTTCACGCGTCATAATGCTCCTTATAAATCTCCAGTCTTATTATAGTTAGCGATAGCTAGAAAAAAAAATATCCGCTGTATTTAAAACTGATCAAGTTTCAGTTCAGTTAACGATTAATATATGCAGATCAAAACGCTTAGTTAAAATAAATAATGTCCGACATTGCTAAAAAATTCTTAACTATCGATTTCTGCATGTGAAAAGATAACAAATGCAAAACTATTAATACACACGCAAGTGTTTTGTTTGCTTATGATTAAGTTATCAATAGTTCACTCCGTTTATCGCCTCACAATTGCTTACAGTTAAACAAATGTCAGCAATAATGTGTTAGTTCTTCTATAAGATGAATTTAGGACAGAACTTAACACACCAAAATAATCACCTTGCACATATTCCACCCATTTATTTCGAAGAAAATCAACATAGCATGTATGTAATTAATAACGTACCTATCCCATTCTCTTTGATGAGAGAGAAAAGACAGAAAGAGTATGCAGGAAATCTTACCTTAAAGAAGCTCAAGAACCAGGATATATCCACTTACTTCATTTTGATCTCATCTCTTATAGAATCGTTCAGAGTATGAGTAGCATTACATATAGATATTTTAAATGAATAACTTATACTAAAATATACAGACAACTTACGCAGTTTCATCCTCATCGCTCGTCTCCGTTTCTTCGTCATCGTTGAAATGAGAAAGCTTAAAGCTCACCGGTATATTCTCCTCCTTTAAATCATCTAATGTTGTATTACCCTTCATTTCGCCATTCTTTATGTTGATTCTTCGCTTAATCCACCACCTGCCATTCTCCTGAAACATCTTCTCTGCATTTACAAGAAGCCTATATCATGTTGTGCTCAACTGATCCGTCTAATTTCCAGTCTCCCAAATACCGGGGCACTCCTTACTATCATATTCCGACCTTCAGACTACTTTTGCAACTTGAGCATCAACCTAGTGGTGAGAAAGGAGAAAGTAGCTGTAGATAAACAATTTACAATATTGTAAGGGAGTGGATGTTCGGACGTGTGGTGCTTCCAAAGGTATGCAAGAGTGGATAGTGCTCAGGGAGATGATTAATTATGCTAGAATTACCAAAGATCGATTGGTGTTTCATTTTTGGTCTAGTTAGCTGAATGAAATGAGAAACTAATAGCTGATTTGAAATCAGTCAGTGTGCTCCATCATTTCTATCACATTCTGACCATTCTAACTAACTAGCTACTAGTTTCATATTCAGGCAACAAACTTATCTTACACTTGGATATAGTCAAACTTCAACTTTTCTGGCGGAGATCTCAAATACTAACTCATCTGCATTTACTTCACTATGGTTTTGGTTGCGAATGAAATCTATTTAATTCGTCTTAATAAAATGCAGAGGAAGTAGAGATAGCAAGCGGCATTAAATGAAGATGGAGATTGATGATGAAAACAAGTCATAATATTACTGTGGAATAGAAGAGAAGGCACTATAAATTGAAAACTGCCAAATTGCATGTTGAAAATAGCGGGACAACGACTGATGATCAATCGGGTTGGTTCTGTCATGCTAACCGTTATTCTGTTCTATTCAGAGCAAGCTTTTGACAGTAGAGCACTGTCTCATTTTGCACAGGTAACGATGCTTTTTCTGCTTGGAAATTTGTTTGAGGAGCAATGCTCTTAAATAATTTTCAGAAAGCATTACTTTCAAATACCACTATTTGTCATGAATTGCTTGGTCATATAATTAGTATGTCTGTTTGCAGTGACAAATCAAATATTCAGCGCTTTTTTTATACTTCTTTCTTGAAATATATTGATAAAGGAGTTGTTATCGATAAAACTGTTGAGATAATAAAAGAACTACTCACTGTTTACTTCTAGTCTTGTAATAAAAAGACTTAAATTCACTAGTTCAGTTCACCACTTATTTGCTGATTGTAACAGACTAAAAAGGAAAGTCAGAAATGTAGTGCAATTTCTGCAACATGAAAACTCTTGCACTGAATGTCCCGAACTGCATAATTTGATTTATTTGATAATAAAGAAAGATCCCCCACCTCTCTGTTAGCATTACTGACAAAATTTATTGCAGTCTTTGACGTGAGCGGAACATTCACTTGCTTTATAACATTAAATGCTTTAACAGTACACAGAATTAATAATACTTTGCTAACTTCAAACATCCCAACATTGACAGTAATGCAGTTTTCTGTTAATGAGATTATGTATGGGAGGATTACTGTAACTGAAACAATTTTTATTAATAACGAAAATGCTAATAGTACATGCCACTAACTTGAATATTGTTCTTCATGATATTCTTTTTCTCTCTATAGATTTCTTCCATCATTCCTTTGCCCTCTGTTCAATAACTATATGATTAATCTTATTGATCCCTTTTCACGCTTCATTATATGTTGCCACTTTGGCTGCTTTTATCAACGGATATGTTCCCTGCTTACATAATCCCTGAAAAAAATAAGAATTTAATAAATGCTGAAGTGATCTTTAGAAGGATATAAAACAATTTAATATAATATAAACTGATGCAACAAACAATACCTTGTAATCATCGGATGCTAGGTCGTATATCATAATGCCGGCAAGATTGTATGCTTTGATGTAGCTCGCCTTCAAGAACATCGTTATTGGATTTTCTAGTCCTAACCACTGATCACCACCGTAAATATATGCTGATCGTGTCGTCTTATCAAACACATATGTATAATTCTTTGTCTTTGTCAGATTACACACCTCAAAAGTTTTCAAAAGACCGAAATACTACGAAAGAGAATAAAGAAAAGTTTTGTCGGAAGCAGGCGTTAATGACCAACTGACAGAGGTATGACTTTTTTTAAATGTACTTTCTATGGGATTCTACTAAAAACGTCCACACTTTCATCCAGTAATGCTAATGATTTGTTGGACACGATTTTTATTGCTCTGTTGGCTTATTTGTCAAGCCGTTGTTATTTGAGTGGCTGGCCTTAATCCGGTACCGAATTGCACTTCTTAGTTTATTCCAGGTTTCTAGAAATAGCTCTATTCTGTGACTTCATACTGCGATTTGATATGCATAATGGATTTTATACGAGTATTAATGAATAAATGTAGTATAATTAGGATTTTATAATTTATAAATAAGATTTTATAATAATATAAATAAAATAATAATAATAAAATAAAATAGTATGATTAGAATTTTTAGAAAAATACCTTAACGAATGAATAAGTAGCACCGATAAATGCATGTCCGATAGCTGGAGCATAGAGAAAATGAAGGAATTTGTTGAGAAGAGTATAGCCACGTCCGTAAGTGGGTATGCCGAATACGGTCTTATTGGCCCAGAGACCTCTTTTGAGCCAGTGTTGTGTTGAATAATCCTGCAATGATGATCGTTTTAGTTACATTTTCATTTTAAGTCTTATATCATAGCTCTTCCATAAAGAGATCAATTACAAATTAACCGAATTCATTTTGCCGAGTACTCCAAATTCATACACTTTACGATACAGTGGTGCATTGAAACCTGTACAAGGCTTCAGCTTGGAGTACATATGGAAATCGTAGTTCATAATTTGAACATAGTCTAGGTACCTGAAGGAAAACTATTCATTACATTTGTTTAAGATTTCCTACAAGTCAACACTTATAATTTTTCAAACTTAATCACTATATGACCAAAATCAACTGTCTCAAAGTTAGCTATAGAATCACATCTGCAGTGGTGTTCTGGTTAATGATTGCTATTATATCATAAAGATTTATTTATAATTTGTTTGCATAAATTCACTCGATACATTGACAATCAAAGATCTACAGAACACTTATTTAAGGATGAAGAGATTAAGCTGTAATATCCAGCGAGAGAACTGAATATTAAAAAAATGACTTGTTGAGTGGTTTAACATCATAGGCTTTATCAGCTATCGTAAAAGGTGCAGCAACTGCCGCACTGAGCAATAGATTGGGTTTGGCCTGATCGAAACTTTCTCGTAGTTCCTAAAAGTGTTGGGAAATATTAATCAATTTCATCGGTTTAACATTCACAAAAGATATTTTTCCATACAAGAAACATACGCAAAGGATTTACTTTTATAAGGACGGAGAAACCTTTTCTGTCCGTAGGTTGTGCATCTAGACTCCACAGCGGGAACTCCCAATCGATGTCGAATCCGTTGATCTGGTTCATTACCAAGTACTGTGTTACATCTTCTACCAGTTTTTTCCTTAGTTCATTGCTTTTTATCTAAAAATAACAAAACCAACCTTTCCTTTATCTTTAACATTTTGAGACTTTTGAAAAGGCATTTTGGGAAAATGATGATTTTATATTAATTTCCGGGAATTCAAAAATAATTCAAGCCCCGAAATGTATAAAACAAGAAATATTTCAAAAAAGGATGAGGAAAAAAGTGAAGGAAAAAAGACAAAGAAATAGAGATCCGCGAGATTACTTAACTGAGATAGGGAGTCCGAATTACCAAATATATCCTGAAGAGACGAGGCAGTCAAAATGTCGCATTTGTCATTTTTTAATGGAAGGCAGACTTACGAGATGTGACATACGGCTGTTGATGGGTGTGAGAGTAATTAACAATTTGGGAGATGATTGTTGACCGTGCAACCTTTTTCTTATGGCAGTTATTGTGGTAATATTAGGGAAGACGATATGATAATGCTCGTTGATTATACAGGAGCCGATCAGATTATAATGAGTGCATAAATCCTCCTCGAAATAGCTTGCAGATGGATTTCCCTTTCTTAAATATCATTTTAATAGCGGTTAAGAAAACAGTTTTTAAGTGAATTTAAGATATAGTAATACTTTCTAAAAATGGAATTGAATTTATCAAGTAGATAGACAATATTCTGTCATAATTAGATTATAGAAAAAAATATCACAAAAATAATAATACACTTTTCTGAAAATAAAAAATAGGAATTACTGAAAGTAGCAGCTTGTAATTGGTTGAAATTTCAGAACCGGAAGAAAGTGCACAAAGCAAATGATCACTAGTGATAGAATCATCTGAAATTCAATCTTAAATTACCACAAAGATGCTACTCTTCACCTCCATTCATTTGTCAAAACAAACCGCAGTGAAAAGCTTAGCGAGTTCAGTTTAATTTTTAGATATTCTCTACTTCATGTCTTCCCGATAGGTGGACAGTCAATCAGTAATTTTTAAGTATCACTGCTCAACTCGATTTAATATTGCACACCTAATTTCTCAATCAAGACTGAACATCTGACATGAAGCAGCATTTTCCCTATTTCTCATTATCATTTGACTCAAATATTTGATTTTATTTTCAAACTATTTATAACAGCTGTTTACAAATGAACTTGAGCTACTTAACAGTGCTAACATCACTACCACTAAAAGGAAGGAAAAAAGGTTTGGTGAAAATCCATTTTCAGTGAGTTAATCAAAGAAAGTGGCTTACAACAAACAGATAACTTTTTATAACCAGAAACAGGCTTTAAATAACAAATGATTTGTATACACAAACTTTGTGAGCGTAATCTTATAATTTATTACGTTTAATCATAAAAATGGAGATGAATATGTATCAAAAGCAAGAAAACTTCATAAATCATTTTTCTTGAAAAATTTAAAAAATTCAATTGATTTGATTTAAAATTTGTAGACATCAGAAAATAACAGCAACATGGCACAAATGGGCTTCAATAACGTCATCAATGTTGAACCAAAGATCATTGCTTATTATTCTAAATATACGGAATATATATTTGCTTGCATTAGCATCTTAACATTACTGTAATTTCATTGTTTTTTTACTGTAATTCTGTGTGGATACAATAGTATTGCTTGTAATGGAAACAGTGATATCAATCCAACATATAAATGTAATACGTAAGTTGTGCAATAAGCCATAAACTAATGATTTCTTCAAAAATCCCTTCAATTCTTGCATAGATATGAATTCTAGACTACCAAGTCTTTTCTTCTGGGATAAAGTCGACATTATCTAACTATCGACAAATAGTTTTGCTTACTTTTTCGAATTTTTTTTCGAACTAAGAAAAAAAATAAAGTGGTAAGAAAAAAAATTGACGAAAGTAATGATAGGTACTGGAATAAATAAGAATTTTGCTATTCTTCTTATATCTCACTTCCTTTTTAACAATATGATATAATCTAAAATAAGTAAAATAAGAAATTACCATTTAAATAATCGATTAATTGAGTACTGATCAGTTGTAACAAAATGTAACATCTGATGGTGTGAAATTCATCCACATGCGTCTGCGGTATCCTAAAATATAAAGAAAATTTTCAAAACAAATTGCCTCGTCATAGAAATTTTACACTGGTGCTAAACATACGATATCACATCATTCCAATTCATTACCGCTGCGAAATTTCAATTCTCATTGAGATGATGGTTTTGATCTTAAATGAAGCACACTTTTAATAGAGATGAATATCAATAGCTTCTAAAATAAGTTAATGCTTATATAAATTATCAAATTTCTTTTATCTCTGAATACCAGACAAGTTTTTGAATTTTTTGTGAAACATTTGGATCATTCTTTGATATCAAAAGAAATTTAAAAACATTCCAAAGATGATATCAAAAAGATTTTTTTCTCAAAATCGCACGTTTCACAAAAGGAATGAAACGGTTTCAATAAAAGTTCCAAACCATACAAAAATAAGCAAATTTGTTGATAATAATTCACATTCCATTTTATTTTACTCTACTTCTTTCCACTATATACCAATGAAATTGTTTCGTTAATTAATCCAATTCAATCCTTCTGATGCACCATATACATCTGCAACATATATATATATAATTTAATAAATAATATTGGATTATAATAAACACTTCGATCTATCATATTCATAAAACAAATCACAATTCCAAATGCGTCGTTCACATACGTAAGAATAAGCTTTCACAGCAGGAGATGCGTCAATAAAACATGTCTAAAAGATCGCTACAGTGCTGCAACAGTCCGTTTTATAATAACAATTTGGATTGCGTGCGGTATTTCCCGTTGGTAGTTTTATCCAGCAGTTGCGGAGCGGTTTCTAATAAAACTGTCACATTGATGGATGTGTTTTTGTAAGATTTATGGCATTTCATTCTTCATAGTAATTAATCAATTGGTCATTAGTATGCATATTGTCAGAATTCAAGGTAATCATGTCTCAAAGTAATCATGTTGCACGTCGGAATATGTGACAATTTTACAAAACGTGTAATACTATTATTTACCTCATACTGAACGTGTTCACAGCTGACTATTTAGAGCTGTCGTGCTTCTATGAAAAATTAATGTAGCGGCAGACGTTTGGGGAACTTCTAATTAGCTGACTCTAAAGACATGGTATACGCACATTGAGAAAATAATCATTGAATAATTCCGGACTACACTCTTTTTAACTTAACTCAATCGGAAAAAGTAAGTGAAACGATGCGGATGATTGGAATTAATGTGTATTAGATGGAGTGCTCCATTAAATTAATTGTAGATGGAGGATGATAATGCTATTGATATCTACAAATGGATGTTCTCTACCAACAATGACGATAACTTCCATGATCAAATGGAAGTGGAAAGCAATGGGACGTTGAAGGAAGTTGAGGTGAGTCTTACTCTTGGATTGTTACTGTCATATAAACAGGAAAGTATTGTGTAAAGAGCCCCATGGCTTTGCAACGAGTATTTTTTAGAGTTTTAGTTTTTCTCAAAATTAATACATGAAGTCAATTGAAAGGTATAAAAGATCATCCTTCTTAAAGGATGCTCTTATACTCTTCATCTCTCATACTTAAGATTACTCTTTCCTATCCCATCTGGTAATCTTTTCACCTCTTTCATATCAATGATCATCAGCTAATTCTGTGCAAAAAAAAAACAGTCTTTGTTTATTCTATCTGCTTTTTTATTTTCAAAACTAGACCATTTTACAGCTGAAGATTCGGAGTAATGTGTTAGGTGTGCGTTATTGCAAAGAAGAACCTATTGAACCTATGATTATTGTGTTGGAGAAAGTATGCTTGAAAACACTTCCGGATAAAGATGGCAAATTTCCATTCATGCTGAATCTTGACTCTGGATCAATAACATTTTTTTCAAGGAGCGAGAAGCAGCGAGAGGAATGGATGGTAAAGGTAAGAGAAATTATTGTTATATAAAATTAGAGAGGCAAGCGACTTACTTCTGGAGAGAAAAGATTAAATAGGAAAATAGAGAGTAGTCGGGTAACTGAAGAGAGATTTTTGATAACATAGGATTTCATTTCAAATCAGCGTTTGCTTCTTCTTCGGTTAATAATATAACTTTCTGTTGAAGTGAAAAAGGAAGCGGAATAATTTCAGATGTCAACTTGTTCACATAGAATGGCTCAGGCAGAGCTTGATGAAATAGCTGACAATTTTTTTAATACTTGCACTGTTAGTGCTTTTACTCCTCCTGCATCGAACTCGATGAGCTCCTTTTATCTGACTAATCCCGTGAGGAAGACTTATAAATTCTCTATATCTCAGGTATATTATTTCATTCCATTACTTATTGTTCCTTCAGGATATAAATATGTATTTTTCATATACGATTCCGTCATTAAAAAGTTGACCTATCGGATTGAATGATCACTCTGGTCATTTACCATGGTAGTCTTTTGTTTCAGTTAACTCTTTCATTTTTTTTATGGTTAGAAGTTAGAAAAATAATACAGACTATTTAGAACGTTAGTCTGCACTCTCGAAAGATCGTATGTGAAGAAGTGATGTGGGAGAGTAAACTATGCACAACATTACCTATACAACTGGTTAAATTATATCTAAAGTGGTGTAATGAAATGAGTGAACAATTGAAGAGCCGCTTGTGGTGTGTACCTAATGAATATCTGGACTCAGTTCACGACTGCCTGAGGTAAGCTTTAATTAATTCTCTTTATAAAGATTGCTCCTCACATTAAATTACTCTCTTCTACTAGTTTTACGCTTGTATTCCCTGTTGGATTTACAAACCCCACATATTTCTCTTTTATAGGCATTTATCCGCCAATCAAGAGATCTTCGTGAATTCGTTGGAATTTCTTGAATCTTATGCTGGTCCCTCCTTTCGTTCCTCCATGGAGAAGTTTCGTGTCGCCTTCGCATCTGTGCCTACTAATTTGCATCTGCAACAGTTTTCCATTGAGGGACATTCCTATAATTACCTCACCGTTGGCACTGCCAGTGCGATTCCTCTTCGTTTCGCTGTAAGAATCATTAACATTACAAGGGCCTATTAAAACTCTTATTGTGCTTTCTTTCATTAGTGTTTTTCAGCATGGTGGCTTAACAAAGCAACGGGATTCACTTTGTAACTCAGTGAACAATCCAAAACAAATCGACCATATCCTCGATTGCCGATTTTATCGAAGACGTCGAATTTTGCAAGCAGCAAAGTGTACGATCGGCGAACTATCAAGGAAAATCGAAACTGAGTGGCATATTGCGGACTATGGTAAAGTGGATAAAACTGGTATACAATTAATGGCTGATATAAAACAAGTGCGCATTCTTGATTTTCGGTTTTATGAAAATTTGATTGATTTAATTGCTCTTTCCTAGTTGTATCTACACTAATTGATTATCTTTCCTGCTATTCCGAATTCAAATAAAGCATATTTGAATTTATTATATTTATAGTTTATTGTCTATAACAGTACATTTTAATAGAGCCGCAATGATGTTCATGTTTTTAAAAAATAATTTTTCGCAAATTATGCTTTTTAGCTCCATGAAAATTTGATTGATTTAATTGGCTCTTTCCCAGTTGTGTCCACACTAATCGATTATCTCTCCCATTGGTCTCGAACTCACAGTTCCACGACACGATTATCTCTTGAAAAGGTAAAAAATTTTGCTGTTTGCAACATGTGCAGTTGCCATCAAAATATTGGCTGCCCTATGATGAAGAATAGTTTAAGGAATACTAAGCGTGATTTCACACTACTCTATAGTGTTTATTCGAAAAATTAAAAGCTCCTTATTTGAATTCTCCGAAAACTAGTGTAACTCAAACAGATGATTCCAGCCACTTCCAGAGAAGTGCAACTAGTACAACAAGGTTCAATGTGGTTGGTTTCCTTTATTTATTGCTAGCTATTAAAAATTTTTTCCACAAAAACTGTGTATTTTTGCATCACGCAATACATTATGTTATAAGCTTTAGTCTGATTTCAGCATTTAGTATCGTAAACAGCTAGTACTGTTCCAGGAAAGACATGTTATACCGGACGGTTTGGATAGCCAACTTGATACAATAGAAGCTTTTCTAATTAGCTTGAATACCAAAATGGCAGTTATCGATTCTGTGCCCAATAATGAAGTAATTCTTCAATAATGGTTAAACTAAATGTTTTTTTGAAAATTTGAAGATCATTGCCGCATTCAGGATTTTCTACAAAAATATATTATGAGCACTAATTCCACAAGTGATTTAGTTTTAAGACAACTCAGATTAAAATAGTTTTCAGGATTCCAGGAAAGAGTACATGAATAATGCAAGACAAACTTTTAATTCTGTTCTTGATGCAATGTTGCAGTTGACGGAAAGTCTTCTTGATGCTCAACTTTTAGGTGCTCATTTTAAATCGTTTATTGTTTAGGTATATTTGTATTAAATATTAGATTGATTTGAGAAATATCTACGTTTACAGGCTTGGTTTTGGCACTGAAAAAGTCCAGTGATTGCCAACTCTACTTTCATATTCAACTAAGAAGTGATCTGGTGTTGTCTCAAGCAATTACCATAGTGACAACTGGATTACTAGCTCTCTTGGAGCAGGAATCAGCGGAACTGCCGGATTGGTCTACTACTGCTCCACTTGTCACTGTGAATGTTTTAACCTTTATTTCTCTCAAACTGATTGAATTATAGCTTGTGTTAAATAGCTTTTTTTTTTACTTTTCAGGTATTTTCCTTTCTGTCTTGCTACGGAGACGAACGAGGCATGATGGAAGATGCAAGAGAATGTTGGATATCCTTACATGACCGAGTTTTATTCAGATTTCTTCATACTACCTCATCCGTTGCATCAGTTTGTGTACCGACAGTTAGTGGTGATCGCTCAAAACTTATCGTCCAAGTGCCTTTGCCACACAGTGTATACCAGGTTCTTATTTTTATACGTTGATTTCTTGTAATTCAGATGAATTAAATTTCAAGAAATCCTTTTCATTTCTATTAGTGCTTTGTAATAATCTTTCAGAATTTGTCGGAATCTCTTCGATCGGGCTGTACATTTAACGTGAATGCGGTGTTCTGGAATCTGGGCATCAATCACGAAGCCACATTCTCTCAATCAATTGCTGGCGACAGCTCGTTGGAGCCGTCCATAAATCTGGCTGCTGTTAAAGCGTTAGCCTCCTATGCTTCGACTCTGAAGAATATATCTCACACTGCTGAAGAACTTGTTGCCGAACTTACTGCCACTGTAAAATTTTTTTTCAGTGTTTTATTTCTGTCCGTGAGTGCAGGTTTTATTACTAGTTTTCTTCGCTATTCCCACTTTATTTATTTCGCCTGTCTATTATAGGTAGAGACAAATCCAACTAACAAGAACATATCGATCTTCCGATTAGTGATGGCTGTGAACACTGCACTTCATGGAATCGCAGTACTTTGTTGCAAGAGTGGAAAGGACCGTACCTCAATGGCCATCACTTATGAAGAAGGACGAATCATACGTGAGAACTGTGGAATCACTGCTGAACAGGTAATTATATTCACTTTCTTTCACTTTGAAAGGCATTATGGAAATTTTATTCTGTTTTTGTTTTGTGAGTTGATTGCTACAAAATTTTTTCTGAAAACGTGCAGTACGGCAATAGTCGTTGGGTAATATCAAAACAGTTGGAAATTTTCTCTCAACTTCATTCAGCAGGAAAAAAATGATATATTAAAATCTAATTATATGCGGAAATTATTAATGCTGTTCATATTAATTGTCTTCGCTTTTTCAGATATATAAATATTAGTGTCATTTCAGATGGGAGAAATGATTGTTTGTCTGCGTAGAGAAGGTGTACGACGTGAAAATTGTCGTAAAAACATTGGAAAAGCACTGTATTCGTTCTCACATTTCCAGATAAATTTCATTCCCAAAGAGTTTCGGCCTCCCTCAGGCACTTTTGCACATGGAATCGCGAGCTGATATTCATTTGTATATTTTTTTCATAATATTACGTTTCCAATACATATCATTCTTTTTTCACACAATATCCTGGCTTTTAAGATCATTCCGAATGAATTGTTCAGTAACAAATTGGCAACTGTAAATATTTAATCAGCAGTTATTTCTTTTGTTATTATGTGCACATTTGTGAATTATTTGCTTGCAAGTTTTGAAGCGATCTGAGATTGTTCAGTGTTGTTTATTGGCTTTGAACCCTGAACGATTATCTTGAGATCTTCTATATGCAAGGGCAATTGAGACTTTGTACGACAATACTGATTTTGTCGCGTAGTATGGACATCCAACGGCTAAAGCTCATTCCGTGATGTTAAGATATCATTGTAAATAGTTCATTAGCTGTGTTGCTAATCTCACAACTCTCTTTTTAGCTCGATAATAATTCTACTGTATGAATAATGGAAAATTGAGCTAAATTTATCTATGATTAGGATATTTTTAGGATTGCTTGCTATCGGGTCATCTCTTCATGCTTTAATTTTTATGGCAGCATTTTCACTTTGTTTTTATGTTTTTATTCATTGTAGTTTCAAGTTGTTGGACCTTACGGAGGTCAATAAAGATATCCATAAAATAAAATATCAAGCATTTAATGCTGTATAATACTGTTGCAATATTTTTATATTTCATTAGTTTAGACTTCAATCGTTGTTCTCAGATTTAGTTTGAAACTATCATCTTAAAAATTTCCATTGTTCCCACTTGGCTTTCATTATTTCCACTTAATCTGTTCGTTCCAAAATAATTTCGAAACTTAAAAAAATAAAGTGTTGATCTTTTAAAAGTATTTTTCTTAAATGAAGGTGTAACTAGTATTTGTTGTAGAAACTTCAAAAAATTAAATTTAAATTCACGATCCAAGTTTATATTACCAGTATAATAATAAGTAGAAGATGGGAAGGTCGAAAGGTAGGAATTTTAAGAAAAGTAAGCATTTCTTTTGACAAAGGAACTTTTCTCACTATTTAAATTCCCTGTGACAATGTGTCATAAAGTGATGTGACAGTCCGTCAGCATAATTAGCGCAGAGAATAAGACGTATTACTTACGGAGCTACTTATGTCGATGTTCGAAAATTTCAGGTATTTTCATTGAATATTCGATGAGATTATCAGATTTTATTCTTTTCTATAACGCACGAGCAATTGAATAAAAATTTACTGAGGAAGTGAAGCATGAAAAGTAGCGATATTTATAGTTGTCGCTATTGTATATAATCAAGTGATTTATATGATAATCGTTTTACACAACAAAATTTTATAAATTTTATGAATAGAAGATTTAATTAATTATTTGGATAGGAGATTTAATTAACTGTAGGAGATTTAATTAATTGTTTGGATTATTAATTATTTATTAATCTTCATAAGTACAAGTACCACTAATTATCGATGCATACGAAACGATAAAGAAAGATATTGAACAAATTCCGTTCAAACATAATTATTCATTGAAAAAACTAAGGTACAATACTAAATATCAAAATAAAGCAAAATTTGAAATGAAATAGATCCAATAAAGGAAGCTAACCAAATAAATGATTTTTCGTATGTGTTAATTATTAGGATTTCCTTACGTGGAGCTGAACAAATTGTTTTGTTTTATGTCGACATAATTACGCCATCAAAATATATTTTTGTCAAAAGAGGTGCAAGACAGATCATTCAGCTCTGTTGAAAAATTCTCATTTTGAATATTTTAACGTTTTCATAAGTTATTATACAAGGAAGTTATGATTACCACAGTTCATGCATGCTTATTCATTTTAATAACGATAAATAACCTTTTTATCTTTTCAAAAATGAACTTTTCTATCTCGAATTTTCTTTTGAAATAATTTATTTGTTTAAATATCATTGAGTGATTTGGATCGAAAGAAAAAAGAGATTTTCCTCTTTAATTTTTTCCCATATATACAAATATTAAACATTTGATGGATAATAGAAATGCTTGTCATATGTACGTGCAATTTAGAAAATGAGAAAATATTTAATATTAGTGGGATACGGTAGGATGAGATAATATTTAATGTATAAGAGGATGTTATGAATAGAACGTGTAAGAGGGAGCTGCAAATTTGAATTTTATATTTATGTATGTGCATTTGTATCATTTATATAACGTGCAGTTAGGTGATATATGAGACTTCTGACAATAATGGCAGAATGAGAAGTAAGCGCTGAGAATATTGATTACTAATGAGATGTTGATTTTTTTCCTCCTCGTTCTTTTACATATCGCTAATGACGGATGACTTGTTTTTGAGCGCATATGTCACATAGCTCATAAATTCCATATTAACTGAATATTATTTGCTAATATTAAATATATAAGAAGACTATAGACCCTATCGATAAATTCCATCAAATGATATTGGAGACGATGAAGGATTATTTCGGAATGATAAAAAAGAAAAATTTTCACGAGAATGTCAAAAAAAGAAGAGAAAAGAGAGGGATAGGAGCGAAGATATTTCAAACATCTCAAGCTTGTTTCAAACATCATTATAATGCATGCCCACTTGAAGAGAAGGAATAATCTCTCGTCCCTTTCTACTGTTATCATCGAGAATGAATGAATATAATCATAGTCGAGAAATATCACTCAGACACCTCAAATCCTTCAAATACTCTCCCATATAAAAATTTGATCTACATATTTCTCTTATCTGGAAATGAAAAGATTATTAACTGAATTTATCAATAATTTATATCAATTTCACTTAGAAGTAATATTTCCAAAGAAATGGATAATTATCATTAATATGCGTATGATATATTCAATTCACTTTAAACAGAAATTTGTTTTTTTTTTTCAACTGATTAAAACCAATCAAATAAAAGAAGTTCTATAATTTGTTCTCTTTAATGCTTAAACAATAACGTATGCTTAAACAATAATTTAACATTAAAACACCTAATTTCAAACATATATGTATTTTTAAATTGTAATAAAGAGTGCAAAACAATGTTATTTCAAATAGTTATGATATTATATTAGTATGAAATTAAATAACGTTTAATTACGCAAAATAATAATTGAAACATTTAACTGATTTTTAAGCAATATTTACTTCTTTCTCAATACTAATAGCTGTATGCATTAAAACAGCAAACACTTGCTTTTATACATATCTTTTATCTTCACTGAATAAATAGTTAATTAACAAAAGATATTTAACCTAACAAGCAATTAAAATGTATAAGTAACACACTGGAATTTACATATTACTTTTTTTGACATGGGAAGATCGGAATAATAGTGATTATACTCTCCTGGAACCTATATTAAAATTATTTACCAATGAAATTTCACGTTTCTGCTGCTAACGTGCACTCATTATCTGTTCGCACTATCCGAAATATTGATTCATTTTGCCAACTTTCAATAACCTGAAAACAAAAAATGGCTACACTATGCGGGTTACTACGAGTTTTTCCACAACAGCAATATAGATTAAATTCCAAAATTTGATTTTTTCCAATTCAAAAATAAATAACCGGTTTTATTAGTGGTACTCCAGTGCATTCCGAAACATTTCATTGTTTATCCTTAATCAAAAATAATTAAGAACCTGATCAGTAACACGGATCAGAATGTTCCGCGGTCCACGAACGAATATTTGTTTTAGCGCAATACCGGTCATTTTTTCCATTTTCTCCTTTAACTCATCCAAAGTTCCATTATATAGTTTCACCATATTGTATACACTGTTTCCTTCTATTGCCGCATAAATGGTTATTTGTGGCTCGATCGCTCTAAATATGCTTTAATCATTTCAAGTTTTGCACAAAATATTATAGGCTGAAAGTAAAGTTAGATAGCATTCTACTCCTTAACAATATGACATTGGAAGCATGAAAATGAACTTTTTAAGCGATCAAGGGAAATAAATTAATTAGTGAACTGGAAGCAGAAAAACTGCAATTATTCATTTAGAAAGTAATTACTTCTTACGTAATGCTTGGAATAAACGTAAGGCTTCAGGTTTATTACCAATCAAAGAGGTCAAATCGAGTATGCTTAGTCGAAGGATATCTTCTCCTACAATATAGCATCGCTTTAATTGAAAGCTGTTAGTTCTAACCAAATTAATTGTTTTGAAAAGTCATAAACAAAACAAAACATATGAAGATTCATATTTCTTCAGAATCTAAGATGTAAAATATTTGAATGCCATTAGTCCAAATGCTGACGAGAAAATTGAACTCATATATATAAGACAAACATTATACCCAGTACGAAGTTTTACCGAATTTGTTTGCCTTATGAAGCACATCATATTTCCTCCAAATGAAGTATTTTAAAACAAATAACGAATATAATCAAAATTTAAAATCAAAGTTAAACCGCTGTAATTATCAAAAATATGAGCGCAGTTGGTGAAACGATGCGATTTGAGCCATTTCGCGAGAAAAGCCGCCGAATGATTGGCACAAATGCGCACTTCAGTGACATCCATTTCAGTTACTGAGTTTTCTCGTGAATAATTACTATCCACCGATTGGCTACAACGCCTTTTCGCTATCACTTGTTCCATATCATTTAACGTGGTTGGAACGCGTAACAGTTTACTCCTTCCCAATGAGGCCACAGTATAATCAACTTGTTCGCTGGGAGTTACTCTTTCTTCATTATCTACATCATAGTCCAAATTTGCACCCAATAAGAAAGTATAGTCATATGATGGCTGATACTGCTCCTGCAATTTTAATTAATATTTGAGAAATTAATACGACTTTTAAGAGTAAACTTATGCCCGTCGAAATTATAGTAACATACTATAATTTCGACGGACATAAGTTCACTCTAAAAGAATTTTTGAAAGTATACTGACTTGTACTCCTTAAATTTAATGTGTCCAAATGCACTATAGTTTCCCTAAAATTTAAAACAATAAAACGAAATTAAACTTTTTAACACTCGCGTTTATTTCATCCGAAAATATAAGAAATAAGGAAAAATATCTACCTGATTCGCATGCATTGTTGCTTTCTTCCGTTCTGTTCTTCTCTTTCTTTCGGCACCACGAAGCTATAACATAGGATGTGCTAAATTTTATTCATCTGAGCGATATATATTTTGGAGCATCTATCATCAAAAAAAATTACCTTAAAAATTTGAATTAGTGAACTATTTTGTTGCAATAGTTCCGATGATCTCCAACAATAAGTTTGGAAAACGAGCCGAAATGGTTCTCCCTTCTCACCACAATTATCTGCAAATATTATCTAATGCGCATATTTTAAATCAAATTAGGAGAGAACTGGGAAAAGAGATGAAGACCTACATTAATTTAGTCTGAAGTAATTCTTTTGTCAATAATTTTCCCTATTAAAAGCTCGATTTATCTGTACTGTATGGGCCAAATAGACAAAAACAAGGGAAAAAAATAAAGAATAGGCCTTGCACAACAATCATATCGTATTACTGAAGGACGAAAAAAATGGATAATGAAGTCAATCAAAACATCAATGCTATTTAGCAATTCAATCAAGCTCTTTTTTTAAAAAAAAATATGTCACATGGTTAAATATGTACATCAGACAAGATTATTTGTTAAATTCATTCAATTGCTAAACTGTTGATAGGCAAATAATCGTAATAAACTGAAATTTAAAAAGTGTAGATTAATCATTCGTAACACTGATTGCATGGTTTATGAATGCTATTTTGGTACCAAGGAAACTAAAAATTTTTCGCTATCAAATAGCATAAAATTACTTATATTTCTAAAAGAAGTTAAATTGATAGAAAATTTTACCGACAAAATCGGAGCTTAAAACGAAAAATTTGATAAATACAATGGCGTTTGGTAAGGAACCATCCCACACAAATTCAGCTGAACGCAGTGCATATTTGACGTTTGATACATTTGAACAGCGTGGTATATCTGAATAACCAATTAGAGTTTAATCATGAAAGTTCTCTAAATTTATCAAGAAATCTCCATTCTTTATATCGAACATCATATCTTGACATCTATTGATTTTGATCTAAACAATATTCATATTGAACTCACCTAGTGCAAAAAAGCGTTTTCCTGGATTTTTCGTCTTCCATATTTCTATTAAATCATTCATCTGATAACGCAACTTCTTGTTGTCGAAACAAATGGTTATCACTGTCTAGATGTGGTAAAAATAAGTTAGTTATTTTGCATTAGGGGCAAAAAAATCTTATGCTTTCAATTTTTTTTGGAAAAAAGAAAGAAGAGCATTTTTAAACAAAATGCAAACGAACGGAATAACTTCTTACGCATAAGAGGGTAAATGAAATGTTCTTTTGTGCTCATTAATTTAGAAACTAAAAGCTACATCGAGAAGAGAAAGATATGAAGAAAACGAGAAGCTAAGAAAAGTGAGTGAGTTTTGAATGATCCCAATTCCGGAATTCAGAGATCTATATGTTTTTACTTACCTTGTAGCATGACTGTTGTCCACCCGAACATGGCTCAAATGCACATTTACGACACCTAATTTCATATGATCGATTCTGGTTGAGAAAGGTTACCGGCTGCTCATGTAATGGTATTGCAGCCGAAGTTGGTGCCATAAGAATATATTCCAATCTATAATATTAGCATATACATTTATTTGTATGTATGCATATTTCAATTGATCATTACATTTCCATTTTCCTTTCATATTTTATGGCTTACTTTCATTTTTAAAAAAAATAAGCAGTAACTTTATCAGTTTTCTAAATTTAAATACAGATTAATATAATTTAATTAGTCGAGTCCTTTGATCATAGCTTATCTTATCTATATTTTTCATAAAAATCATTTAGATGAAGTGTTATTCTTCTCGCATGCTCAACTCCTTCAATTTTTCATCTTTTCAAATGATCTTTTTATTCGCAAAAAAGTGACATCGAAACATGTTTTCGATATAAATGAAAGAAGGATTATTAAGAATCGTTGCACAATATGTTACTAATAAAGAAAAAACAAACGTAGCCGCAGCTGCAGGAGAAATACTACGCCACGCGGCATTACGTGTCAGTGTACTGCCATCCGCCGTTGATTGCCAAATACCACTTTCATCTTCTTCATGTGAAGGTCCGGGGAGGAAATCACATGTTGATAGCATCATAACATACCTATTAATAATAATAATAAATAATAACAATAATAATTAATAAC